GCATTTTCAAATGTAGTGTTACCAATAATGCAAGGTATACAAAATGTACCTGGGTCCTTACATTTTTCAGGAATGTGTGGAACAGATTTACCTATGAGTGTTGAGACATTTCTGCCCATGCTAATTCGCTCATTGCCCTTCAGCTTCCTCTTGTGGGAGCACAACTCCTTCAGGAACTTAGTATATTTAGGAATTTTCTTGATGGCATCCAGTAGAGGTATGTTCACCTCCACCTTCCTAAAGGTCTCCAATATCTTCTTATCCATCTTTTCCATCGTTTTGCTTGGAATTAATTTTGGTGGAAATGAAAGAGGGATATGAGGCTGCTGCAAATCACCACCATGTGCAGTGGAAGAAGGTCCACCTGTATGAGATTTTCTGCTACCACCTGTAGAAGCCTATTTCTCAAGTATAGGCTCAGGTGCAAGCTTAGGTGCATGTTCAGGTGCAAGTATGTCAATATGCTTGCTAGAACTCAAGGTGATGACACTCACATTCTTTGGATTCTGCATAGTCTGTGAAGGTAACTTGTCTGAGTTTTGGGACTATGCCTGATTAAGTTGAGTAGCCATTTGCCCTATCTAATTTGTTAAGCTTTAAATGAAGGCTTTGGTCTCTTACTAGAATTGCATGTTCTGAATGGTCATCTGCATACCAACTCCTCCAATGAAGGCTTAGAAGTAGAAGGTTGAGCTGGTGGAGGTGCAAGAACATTATGTTGTCTCTGTTGCTACTTTTGGACAAGAGGAGGCACATATCTGCTAAGACCAACAGTATTCTAGAATGGAGGGGATGGTTGTTGTTGCTATTGCTGGTTTGACCATATGAGATTAGGATGATTTCTCCAACCTAGATTGTACCTATTGCTAGAGAGGTCATAACTCTGTTGTCGTTGTTGCTGGACAGGAGGTCTGTTGTAAATATTTGTAGCATATGCCTTTAGATGCTCATTTACTCCAAAATGCTGTAGAGAAGGGAAAACATTTGTATGATGATCATTTAAAGAACAAATGCCACAGACCATTGCTACAGATGCAAATTTTTTATTTGCAGCAAGTTGAGTCACCAGGTTGACCAATGCATCAAGTTTACTCTCTAGCTTTTTATCTGCATTAGTGGCCATATCATGAACTCCTTGTTGATAATTGTTGTCGTTTCTGGTACTAAATTGTTGAGAGTTGGAGGCCATCTTTTCTATCAAGTGCCTAGCTTTAGCTGGGGTCATGTCAACAAGTGCTCCACCACTTGCAACATCTATCATACTCTTCTCCATGTTATTTAGCCCCTCATAAAAATATTGCAGCCACAACTGCTAAAAAATCTGGTGGTGAGGACAACTTGCACATAATTTCTTGAATCTCTCCCAATACTCATACAAGCTCTCTCCACCAAGTTTCCTGATCCCTGGTATATCTTTTCTGATTGCAGTGGTCCTCGAGGCAGGGAAGAATTTCTCCATAAACATTCTTTTAGGATCATCCCAATTGGTGATGGACCTGGGGGCCAAATAATACAACCAATCTTTAGCAACTCCCTCTAATGAGTGTGGAAATTCCTTAAAGTAAATGTGGTCCTCTTGAACATCAGGAGGATTCATGGTAGAACAAATAATATGGAACTCCTTCAGATGTTTATGTGGATCCTCACCTGCATGACCATGAAACTTGGGCAACAAATGGATTTTTCCAGTTTTAAGCACAAAAAGAACATCCTCCTCAGGATATTGAATGCTCAAACTCTCATATGTAAAATCAGGTGCATCCATCTCCCTAAGAGTCCTTTCACGGGGTCCATTATAAGGTTGCTCACCCATGTTTTCTGTTTGAACTGAATTGACCTCAAATGCAACACTTACACTATGGTTATCACTATAACTATCTAAAGATAGAATGATATGATCTCTAAGTAGTCTATGGAATGTCATATCAATCTCAGGGTCAAATGGATGCAAAAAGCCTGGATTGCTCCTAGTCATGCACTACATGCAACACATGCTTTAGGACACGTTAATAGTAGGGGTAAAATGGGAATTTACATGACAACTTAGAAACCATAAAAAATAATGCACCAATATCATCCTAAAATCATTATAAACTACCACAAAAAATGTCAAAGCAAAATTCTAAGTCTAACTATATGAAAAACCTATGAGAAGTTTGAAAAAATAGGGAAATAAAACTTCAAAATTAGAAAAAAAATAGTAAACAGCCTTTTTTTTTATAAATATAATTGGGGCCAACCAACATAGCAGATGGGTTTGATAGGTCTTTTTTTTCTACCCCAAATGCATATATAATATATCCAATTCTGATAACTAGCGCAAAAGTTATAGCAGTTTGAAGTTTTGTTGAAAACTGGTTTCAAAAATTTTTGTATCTTAAAATCAAGACCACTATAAGTGCCTCTAATATTTTTTACACAAAATATAAGTTGAAAGAAGTGTGCACACAAAATTTGAAGCAAAAATAACAAGTCTAACTATCAAAACAAAAAATCACAATTAATTGGAATATTTGGGTACTATTTAGCACTATTCACTGGCACACATGAAATGCACAATTTCATACCACTTCCCACAATTTTGGCACCCAAACAGAGGAGTAGTTGAGGCAGAAAACAGAGTATGCCTAAGTGAAACAGGGCATGCAAGAAATCAAAATAGAGTTACTCTAACAATTTACAACTTAGACTTCGAATTTACTGTTCCATTGGATTACTGTTCCATTGGATTACTGTTCCATTGCTTCTCTTAGTTGCATGAATAGCATGAATTCTTCAATTGGTATACTTGCTACACCTAGGGGGGACTAATAACAAACACAAATACACAACATAACATGAGTAGGACACAAAAACACAAACACACAACTGATACACCAACATGTATACAAGACTGATACTCACAACTGATACACTAAAACACTACACCAAAAACACACATAACATAACAGAGACTCTAAAACACTACACTAATAACAAAAACACAAAACATAGAACACTTTAAACAACAAAAACAAAGAACACACACCCTTTGGCAGAAACCGATGGTCCCCGGCAATGGCGCCAAATTTGATCGAGTCATACCCGATCAAATAAAACAAGTGAATGTAGTACTAGGAGGCTTTCCTAGGTCGTCTCCCAAGGGCCACTCTTTTCTTTCAAAGGTTCAAACATGAATTGGGGGGGGTTTGGTTCAGATTTATCAGTTAAAACACAATAAAATGTAAAGTAGCACAACAAGTAAAGCAAATTGACTCCTTGCTCAGATTGTAACTCTCTTATCTCTGGTTCACAAGAGATTACTCTATCAACAACTTAATCCTTGTTCCATTCGAGTTAACCAACTAAGTGAAGATTAACTCAAGACTTCCTTACACGAATTAAGCAAACGTATACAACATTGAACTTCTCCACAGGATTAAGCAAACTATGGCATTAAAGACAACCCATTAAGCATGAATGCATTAATATGGAGATTTAATGAAGAAGAACCAAGCATAACAGAGATACAAAATACGAACCCAACCTCAAACAAAGATTACAATTTGCAACAAGGAGCCAACTAGGGGTTTTAGCCTTCCATTAATTAAAAAACAAATAAAGAAAAAACAAGGTAGAAGGAAAGGAAATGAATAATCTGTATTACTTCAATGTAAAAGTTCAGTTTTTGAATACAACCAGAGAGGAAACAGAAGAAAAACATAAAAGAAAGGAAGCCACAGAATAGAGAAAACGTAAAGGCAGGGAAGAGCCACACAAAACGTAAAGGAAGAAGAAGGAGAAAACTAAAAACGTGGTCACATCAAACTGGTCGCTACTAGGTCAACCCTAACCTAGACCTAAGTCCTAAAAGCACAAAAATCAGCCCCCCTACCCATGTGTCTGGCCCAAAATTAAAAAAAAAAAGGTTAACAAATATGTAAATATGTTGTTGATGTGGTGGTGCTGACATGGCAATGTGGGTTGACGTGGCACTTTATCTCTTGAAGTCCAAAAATAATATCCAAGCTCAAAAATGCTTCACAATTAACCTTAAAATAATTAATAGACAAAAATTAGACCAAGTGAATTGGAATTAATTAAAACTTGAATTATTGGCCCAATGAAGCCCAAATAATGAAACTGTGCAATTAATAAGCGATTAAGCCCAAATCATCAATTAAAATAAGCACAAAAAAGGTAAATAAATAAGGGAAAATAATGACTTGTCCTTTCTGTCCTCCGTCGAATGTGACTTGGCCTCCTTTCTTGGATTTGAGGTCTAGGAACATAGACCTTTCTCCCGTCATATGTCGCGAGTAGCCACTATCCAAGTACCATGACCAGACACTTCTTTTCTTGGTTGAATAAATCTGTGACAGGTATTATTTCAGTCTTTGGTACCCAAATGGATTTGGGTCCATTAGTGTTAGTGTTTTAGGTTTTGGAATACCTATTCTTGTGCATGTGACTGCACTTGGACGTAGAAAGTCCATGCTTCCCATAAATAAAATATGCAGATGTACTTGATTTAGTTTCAAGTTTAGGTTCAACATATCCTAATCCTGATTTATCATTGTTGCTCCTAGAGTATTTAAAATATGTTCAAGATTCTTAGTTCCTAGGGTGAACTTTGATAAATTTGATTTTAGTAAATCGATCTCTTTGTTAAGCACGTTTACTTCTTTTGAAGTTGTCTTACCTCTTTCAAAACCTTTTTCTGACTTTTTCAATAATTTTTCATTTTCAGTTTTAAGTAAAAGGTTTTCCTCAAGTAATTTAGAAAATCCTTTTCTTCTGTTCTTTATAGGTTGTAGAAATCTTTTCCAAATCAGTCAGAAGTTGATTGTATGCATGCTCAAGAGATTTAAAGTCAAATTTACTAACCTCTTCATCATTAGATTCTGATGATGAGTCTGTGTCTGCCATGAGACATATATTTGCTTTTTCATCGTCTTCAGATGATGACATGTCTAGATCTTCCCAAGTGACCATCATGGCCTTCTTCTTTTTGTGGAAGGTCAGCTTCTACCTAAAAAGGAGAGTTCATTTACAATAGTTTGGAATCTTCCAAACATGGTTTGGATAAACACGTTCTCTTCCATTTCGAAGAGTTCATACTTACAAGCCAACAAGCTTAGCTTGTTGCGTTTTACCTCCAGGGATCCCTCGTAGGTTAGAACTAGGGTATCCCACATCTGCTTGACACTCTTGAAGCTGTGTACTTTGGTGTACTCTTTCTCAGACAGAGCACACATGAGTGCATTTTGGGCTTTGGAGTTCAACATGAATCTTTGTTTTTGTTCTTCATTCCAATGTGCTTTAGGTATTTCATTGCCAGCCTCGTCAAACGCAATGTAGTTTCCTTGTTCTACGACATCCCACATGTCTATATGACATGGGTAAAAGAATGTGATCATTCTTTGTTTCTAGTAGTCATACTTTGTTCATCTGAAGAGAGGTGGGTGGTTCACCGTCTGTCCTTCGTTTCCCATCGATCATTATGTACCCCTGCAGTGTTAGATGCTCAACCCAAGGGGACAAGCTATGATACCAATTGAAGTTAGTGAAAAAACATACAGAAGGGGGGTTAAATGTGTGTGTGAACGAAGGAACTTTAAAACCTTTTTCGCAAAGAGACTCTTCTTCGTCCAGTAAATATATTATTTTGAACACTTTAAAAACTGTGCAAGGTTGGCTCGACAAAGGTATTTTGCATCTGAAATTTTATTGTCTGCACAAGAAAAATATTTCTTAAAATAATAAGTTAAGCAAGAGTCTTTTCCGTTTAAAGATAGTTACGATGAAAATAAGTAGTGGACGAATTTTTCAATATGATATATCAGCTTAAACAAAAAAATTACGTCTGATAAATAGATAGAAGGTGCAAAGTGTTTTATACTGGTTAACTCGACCTAAGCTACATCCAGTCTCCTTCAACTGAATTCTCAACCACTTTTGGTTCGTCAACTTCACTCGTCGATGCTAGTATTCTTAAACCACTTATGGTCCCCAAGTATTATCAACCACTCCTGGTTCACCAACTTCACTCGTCAACAATAGTATTCTTAAACCACTTCTGGTTCCCCAAGTATTTTTTCAACTAGCCTCTCCAGGCTTTACAGTAGATAGATGTTTTGAGTGTGTACATAACTCTCATAGAGAGGATAGTATGGTTTCTACACTCGCTAAGGTATACGACCTTAGTTTTACAAAGATATGTGTTTTTGAGAGTGAGTGTAACTCTCACAGAGAGGATAAGATAATTTCAACACTCACTAAGATAAGCTATCTTAGTTTTACACATATATACAAGACTGTATAGGAAGAGATGTAAGTTGGCTTTCACGTTTGCTTTTTCTTATTTCTTGTTGCTCTCTTCTCATCTTCTTCTCTTGTTTGGTTTTGATATTTATAGCCTCGTGATAAATCTATCTGTTATTTGAATTTGAAAGTGTTCGTTGGAGCGGAGCTTCCCGTTGGCGCAGATAGTAGTTCGTTCATGGCTATGTAGATCTTTCATTTAATGCATTTGATATTGCATTAAATGTTTGCTTGTCGAATCTGTGTTACTTGAAGTCTTTTGCATAGTTTGTTCACTTATATGTCTGACTTCAATCATAACCTAGGTATTTCTGTTCTCTTTCCGTCATTGTAGCTACACAAGCGTTGTCTTTTTCTGAAAAGTAGGTGTAACATCCCAATTTTTATTTCACTTTTTATTTATTTATTTTTTAATTAAGGGTATTTTGGTAATTTTACAAAGGTAATAGGGGTGATTTAGTAGCTTGGAACGGGTTGTTCCGGAATTGGAACGGGCCGTTCCAAACTACCAAAAAACATGTGATTTAGTAGCTCGGAACGGGCCGTTCCGGAATTGGAACGGGCCGTTCCAAACTACCAGGTTGTGTGTGAGTTAATAGCCCAGAACGGGCCGTTCTCAAGGTAGAACGGGCCGTTACAGACGATTAAATATGCCTTTAACCCTAAATGAGAACGGTTCTGGAACGGGGCGTTCCCAAAATTATGGCCGTTGGGGGTAATTAATGCACACCAGAACGGGCCGTTCTGGTTTTGGAACGGGCCGTTCTGGATGTATTTTTTAGCCACGTTTTAAGGGTCCGGAACGGGCCGTTCCGGATTTGGAACGGGCCGTTCCGGCGTAAAAAGCCTATAAATAGAGCTGTTTGCCACTCCCAAAAAGCACACCTCTCATTTCTGACTTCTTTTCTTCTGCTCTCTCTTCTTTCCTCTACTTTCTGCTTCAGACCGAGGGGAACCCAGCGAGGGAGATCAACCAGATCTAGTCTAGATTCAGCTTCTTCATATCCAGGTACGGGGGAAAAGGGAATTATTTATATATAGAGTTACATGAGGGAATTGGGTAGAGGAAGAACCCCTTAGAATTATGAGCAATTTTAGAAATATTTCTGTTTGAAGAATTATTGGCATTATTTGATTCTGTATATATTTAGGACAATAAATATATAATTTTTTTGTGAAAATGATCCTCTAGGAGGGAGAACGAAATTATAGAAAAGTGCCTGTAGGTTAGGTTTTGGAAAAATTGAATTATTTCTGTTTGAGGATTAGAAAGATATATTTAAATCGTAAGAATTATGATCTGGGAGAGAGAACGAAATTGTAGAAAAGTGCATGTGAGCTAGGTTTTGGAACAATTAGGGGTTTTACTGTTTATGTTGAAATTATATTAAATTGGTAATTCCGTTGTTTATTATATTAATTTATGAATATCATTGTTATATTATTTGATAAAAAATGATGATTTAAATGTGAATTACTTGATACGTGTGAAACCCATTATTTTGGACATATCTGATATATGTATGAAATTAAATTATGAGATGTTGTGTGGAATGTGAATGAGATGTGGTTGTGGTTCTTCACACCTATGACCAGGGGTGAGCACGACCCGAGATTGTTACATGAGTATCGTGACCTTGGTTAACATGTCAGGGGTGAGCACGGCCCTAGGTTAGGGGTAACGTGACCTTGGCACAGTGTTATATCAGGGGTGAGCACGGCTCTGGATTGTTACATGGGTATCGTGACCTTGGTTAACATGTCAGGGGTGAGCACGGCCCTAGGATAGGGATAACGTGACCTTGGCACAGTGTTATATCAGGGGTGAGCACGGCCCGGGATTGTTAAATGGGTAGCGTGACCTTGGCATAGTGTGAAGTGCAAGATTTGTGATGATTGGTTTGATTGAGAATTATGACGTGATGACAATGCATGATTGATTGAAATACGATATGTTGAAATATTTACGAATATTAAATAATATATTGTGTTTTCTTATGTGCTATATATATAGATGTTTTCTTTTCTCACCGTGCGATTTGTGGATATTTTAGGTGAGGAAGATCTGGCTATGAGTGGTATCTAAAATGCCAACGGTTGAATTATCGGGATGCTCTGATATTGTGACATCGGGGCAAAAAGGATTTTTAGAACATAGGTTTTTATTGTAAATGTTATTTTGAAAATAATTTGAAAACTCTTGCGTTTCATTTTTTTGTTATTGTGGTTATTGAAGGATAATTCTTAAGATTCTCATGTGAACCCTTTTACCGAAATTGAAAAATTTATTTATAAGTTTTTATTATTACAATATATATGTTGGGGTAGTAAGGGTGTCACAGTAGGTGTACTATCTCTGATACTCGCAGCTTTGACTTGTGGATTCGTGCTTGTCTATTTTTCTTCTTTCTTTTCTCAATTTTGATGACTTCGTGTGTTCTTCTTTGAGTGTAGATGATTTGTTATCTCTCGTTGTGAATAGTGGACTTTAAACGCTTTTCAATATTCTTCGTCTACATCTGGTAATGCATTTGAATTTTGAGTAGACTTTGACTTTCCTTTCGTCTGGTTTGACTTTCCCTTTCGTCTGGTCTGTTGTGAAGATGGAATACTTTAATTCCGTCTGGAACATTTCTTCGTCTTATGTTATCCATCGTCTGATACTTTTGTTGACCTTTGACTGGTAGCGCGCCTTGTCTTGTATTTGTTGTATTTTTGTCTGGATTTTGATCGTATGATGTTTTGTATAGCTCAACCAGGCTTCGTTTGGTTTGACCATAGTGTGTAATAACACGTACTTCATTTTTCAATTTTTCCTGATCTTATATTTATTTAAAACTCTAACACACATGTGAGAAATAATAATATGTATTATATTTGTCATGTTCAAAACCTTACTGGGAATTTCTTCGTCTGACTTAACACTCATGATTATAGAATATTGATCATTATCCTAAGCCGTGTTAGTATAGGATTTATTTTTTATTCTTATTTTTCCCTTGTCTTTAATTTTCTATTTTATCGTTGTATTTTAGGTACCTTACACATAGGACTTATTTTACTTTTATTTTTCATTTTACCTTTGTATTTTGGGGTACCTTTGACCTAGGATTTATCTTTAGTTGTATTTTTCATTTTACCTTTGTATTTTAGGGTGCCTTAGATTATAGGATTTTATTTTATAGCTAGGGAATTATGATAAGGTGGGAGGAATGGCCTAGACGTGTTTTTGGTGTTTATTGGAGTTATTTTTGGACTTGGAGAGGCTTAGACCCAAGAGGAGGCCACCTAGGTTGCATGGTCTTATTATGCACCTAGTTGTAGCTTAACCAAGCCAAAGATTCCATCCTTGGCCACCAAGTAGGCATGACATGTAGGGTTAATTTGGCATGCATTTGTGTTGCATTTCCCTCACATTTAGCATGGAACTGTGCACACTCCTAACCCTAGTCATTACCCTAGCATGCCCAGCCATGACCTCACATCCTAACTAATATCAACCCTAGGCTATTCTCCATGTATTCACTTTAGATTATATGTTATTGAGAGAGCCTTTGAGCCTTAATATCTTCCTTAGTCTCTTAGGTCAATTCAGTCACCTTATTCCTATCTCCACCTTGAGTACACCAAACCTAGGAATGGCCTTCATCCACCATGAAGTGAGCCAAACCCTAGAGTTCCTCTCAAACCTTCCATCAAACACCTTATCTTCATCATCATTCTTGGCCATCTTCATCATCCAAGGCTAGAATACTTGAAGGATCATGATCCTTAAAGTCAAAAAGGTCTCCCATTGATCATTCTTCTTCATCAATGCTAGGAGGACTTCCATCAAAAGGTATGGTACCTTAAAAAATAAGGGTAAGTGTCCTACAATTCTTCAAGCCAACATTATCAACCTTCACTTTTCTTAGACTTATCTCTTCCATAGGGATTCTTGGGAAATAGGTTTCCATCAAAATTGTTTATAATTTGATGAATATTGTGTTTGATGTGATTCAGGATGAATGTTGTATAATGATGATATAAAGGCAATAAAAGTTTTTTTGAAAAGTGCAAATGT